TAATTTGTTACTCGTGAATAGCTAGCTCCTGTTCACATTTTGGTATATCTTCTGCTAGTCTTTGTTTCTGCTTAGGCTCTTGAAGGTTTTGTTTGGTTATATAGTTTACCCCACTATCCAGAAGTAGAGCCTTCTGAGAAACCTTTCCTAAGAAATGGTGTAAAGCAAAGAAACAATTACCTTAGCACACATCTTGCTAATGCATGCACAAAGTAAATTGAGATAAAGCACAGGTGCTCGGAGACAGAGTTCAAAGCTATGGCCGCTCGATGCTGAGATGCTGAGTCTAGTTCCCGGAGAAGGACCTTGGTGGTGCCACTCTCCCTGCTCCGGGTGTGGCACTGCCTTTATAACAGCTCCTGCAAAACAAGTGCTGAATGCTATTTTCTCCTTTTTTTCGGAAAAGTGAAAATCCTCTTCGGATTTCTTTCCAGTTAGCAAGAACAGGTACTAATGTCGATCTTTTGTGAAAGTGAAGTGAAGTAAAGCGAACTTTCAAAAAGCAGGGGATACCTGTATATACCATTAAATATCCTGCTTTTATAAAATAAGCATCTTCCAACATACGGTTATTAGTGGAAACTTCATTTTTAACATCTGCTTAATATTCACAATAGTCAGTTCTCCTTTCCTCCTTGCTAACAGAGCTCAGGTCTTTCAGGCAGTCAAGAACTTCAGGGAATGCTGGCACCATTTGGTGCACAGAAGGTGAATTTTATGTAGTCTAAGTCAATCACCGTGTAATTCTATTTCCCTTGTTAGTGATTGGCTAAGGAAGGAGCAAACGACCTAATTCTGGCCAATAAGATATGAGGGCAGGTCTACAGACTGGATTTATGGGAGAAATTCTTAGTTCTTAAAAAGTGGTTAACAAGAAAGAGGTAACCCCCTTTTCTGCCTATGGGATGTGTGTGAGAAGGAAACACTAGAGCTGGTGGTTGGAACTACTGCATCCATCTTGTGGCCATGAAGGGAGCCAGCTACACAATGAAGATGGAAGAAGAGGGAAGTAGGAAGAATTGGGCTCTGGATGATCTTGTCACTGCAATCAGTCACACATCCCTGGACCCTACCTGAGACTTCTTGTTGGGTCAGAAAATAAATCCCCTATTGTTTAAGCCCCGTTAAGTCAGATTTTCCGTTTCTTGCAACAGAAAGCATCCTAACAGATATAGCAGTATAACTTCCTACACAATTTTCCTCTTGTAGGCTACTTGTGTTACTTACAGTTTTTCACTATTGCTTTTGCCTTGGATACTTTCAAGAAATAAAAAAGTTACATAGCCTAGATAGTAATGTAATTTGTGTTGGGGGAAGAAAGCAAGCAATAAAGAAAAGAAACAGGAATGAACTTGAAATATCTCAGGTCATCAAGGCTGAATCATTCTGAGTCTCCACTCCCTTTATTGCTCATTGCTGTCAGCAGAGGTGGTTATCAGTGGCAAGTTACATTTCAGAAGGAAAAATTGGGAAATACAGTCTCAACATAACACGCTATTAAGGGTGAACATAAATAATCCTCTGAAATACAAAAGCTATCCCTGTTTGCAGCGTTACATGGTTTCATCAACTTTTTCTCTTTATTATAATAAAATTACTTTGGTAATAAGAAAGGCAGTCCGTTATGCCATGGTAATTCACTTCTCATGTTAAAATTTCCCATAGATTCTACACTGTGTTTAATCTAAATGCACCTAGTCTATCACATTGACAATATTCAAGAACTAATGTTTCCCAAAGGCCTTCCAGAATCAAAACTGGGGCAAGGGTCCCTGACTGAACATGATTTAAGTGAAGATGTTCAAATGTCTATGCTAATATCTGACAAATGAACAGTAGAAGAAACCTCCAGTAACTGCCTCTGGTTTCATCACTAGTAATGGTTGGGCCCATTTATAATTTGAGATTTTAAATATGTTTACTTTTAAAATATTTAGTTGTCTTAGAGTCAAATTTTGGAAAGCTTCCTCATGTAAGAGAGGATATGCCTGTCAAAATAATAATTTTAAACAGTACATTTATCAAGCACTAGTAGTACAAGGACCTACATTTCTTTTCTTTTCTTTTTTGTTTTTTGTGGTACGCGGGCCTCTCACTGTTGTGGCCTCTCCCGTTGCGGAGCACAGGCTCCGGACGCGCAGGCTCAGCGGCCATGGCTCACGGGCCCAGCCGCTCCGCGGCATGTGGGATCTTCCCGGACCGGGGCACGAACCCATGTCCCCTGCATCGGCAGGCGGACTCTCAACCACTGCGCCACCAGGGAAGCCCAAGGACCTACATTTCAATATTAGCATCAATAAGTACACCTAACACACATTCAGAATTTTATATTAACAATTGATTACAATGTAATTCATTTACAGAACTTATTTTTTAAATCCCACACATAGATTACAAAATGAGACTAAAGTCACAACTAAATACTCAACTGTTGTTCATGAAGTTCTTCAGCCCTGTGATTATGACTCGTGATACTTCCCACTCCTGGTCTCCAGCCAGGAGTGTTGATTCATGAGTTGACTATGGTAGAGGGTGTAAGGAAAACATGGGCTAATCTAAATCTCAGATAATGACTCTTTTCTAAACCAAACCCCCCCCAAAACAGCAAATCAATTTCATAAGCTACAAGATATCATTTCCCCCATGATGTCTCATAAGTTCGTCTCATGTAAGAATCATTTCCTGCATACTTGGATGTGTAAAGAAGAAGAAAACAAAATTCAGAATGTGGAGAGGAACCCACTGTTCAAAAGTTTACCTGTCATCATGAAGAATGTGGAGTCTACTCTGAGACTGGATCCTTTCTGAATCTAAACTGACGCTGGGTTTAAGAGTCCAGATTGAAGAGGTCCATTAATTTAAGCCCTATTATAGGTTTCTTAATTATCTAAGTAGTCAAGGTTCCAAAAATGTGCCACTAGATGCAGAAAGGCAGAAACTGATCATGAAAATCATTGGAAACTAGCACAGGGCTTGGCACATGAAAAGCACATAATAAACATTTGTTAAAGAAATAACTGCATAAATAAATTATAAATAAATTTACCTGAACTTTTGATAGCGTGTATATGGGAAGGGAAACTGCTTTCTCCACCTTCTCTGTTTTTCCTCATTCACTTCTGATTTCCATTTTTTTCAATAAAAAAATAAATGGAGAGGAAGAGTATTCTGGTTACACCTATCTGTATTTCCCTGTGACAGGGACTTCAAGGGTATGCCTGAGTTTGATATCGAGCAAGGGTCAATCTTTGATAATTCGACTGAACCCTGTGCTACGGAATTGTGTCGCTGGTAGTCGGTTGGAGTGGGTGGGGCAGTGAGGCTGACTACATGGAAAAAGCCTGCTGGATTAGGGGAGCTCTAGGGACAGTCAATGTGTAACCCTGCCCTAAAGTATTCAAATCTTCTGTGCCAAGGTGGGCAGGATCTTGAGGGAGTAGGGGTAGGGAGGTCACTGAGTTAATTCTGTACAAACAAAAGAAAACAAACAGTTTCGTTCCTCTAAATGCCACACACACATGCATCCCCGCATTCCATCCCTGCCCCCCCTCCCCAGTGAAGCCTTTGGGCCCATCCCATGTTGGGAAATGCATTTGTGTGAGCATTAGACACACAGACTTAGTGGGTGGACATTTTGTTGGAGAGAATTGATCTCTCATGAGAAGGAGAAGTGACTTCCAGCCAGCACCCTGCAAACAGAATAAACCCTGAGTCAGGAACACTTTTTGAAACCGCCTCGTAAGTTGTTTTGAGTAAGGCACAGGTGAGAAATTTTGAGTCTAGTCCTCAAATCGCTACCTACTCTTCTGGAGGATTCTAAGGTACAAACATAGGGCATTTTGTCTGGTATCTCCCTGATGATGAAACATGCCATGCCCACACAAATACACAAATGAAAAAAAAATCTGAGGATAACTAGTTCACCCTGTTGCTCAGTATTAAAGTTTGCAAGAGCAGGGCCACTGGGCCACCAAGTTCCTCCAATGTTCCTTCTTGAAGTGAAATTATTTCCCTTCTGGACTCTGCAATATTACTACTGTTTGTCTGCATCCAAAGCCTTCCACTCAAATCCTACACGGGGTTGTCATTATATTAGTGTCATATTCCACCAGAATCATTTGGGAAAGAACTGAAATGCCTCAGAAGGTGATTACATATTTGCCATGAGCTCTATACACAGAATAACCTGTACTTCTGGCATTTTCCCAGGGACAAAAGGCCAACCAGTGATGGAAACCTTGCTAGTGACCTAACTCAGTTTGCTTTGCAGAGAAATACGAACCTTCGAGAAAAAAAGGTCTCCACCCTTGGGAAAAAATATTTTGTGCAAACATAGCTGAGTAGTCTCTCCTTTCTGTTCTTGTCCCCCATCTTCTGAAGGTTGTACCTGCCTGCATTCTTCTGTAGCAGGATTTTAGACTTTTCCCCCAAAGGTGGGGGAAAGTCTCTGTCTATAGAGCTAAATCATAGTGTTCAAAGTCTAATGGCAAGAGACGTTGCTCATCATAAACTATGACAATAGGTCAAGGACTTCTAAAAGTGAAGTGGTGAGAAGCTCCCTCCCCTTCTTTTTCCTTATGCTTCTTCCCACCTTGTGTTTTCAAATGGGTCAGCCATTGGAGTTGCCTTGTTATTAATAATGATTATTATATTGCTTTTATCAATAATATAAAAGCAATAGTACACAAGGAATAATATACAAGGAATTAAAATAAAGGAATAATATACAAGGAATTAAAATAAACAAAAGGGGAGGAAAAAACCTCATGGGTATCAATTTTAATATCTTCAAAAAGCAGAAAGACAGCACAGTTGACCAAATTCCAAAATGCCACAGTATGAAAAGGGAAGAGATGAAGTTTCAGTAAGAGAACTGTGAGAAGTCTTACTTTTGAAACCTCGGGATAAAGAATGCCCTTCAATATTTAATATTTCAGAGACATGCCACTCTTCCAGAATCCAGAGGAAAAACAGAAGTCAAATAGCAAGGCACTTTTGCAGGAGTGTTGAAACAAACAAGAAAACATTTTATTTTTGAAAATACAGTCTTTAAAGATAAATTTGGTTTCCATTTTCCATACCTAGGTGCATCCAACAAGATACAAAAACAGACAAAACAAAACAACGAAACAGAGACCCACGACATTATGTACAGAGCTCTAAAATGAGCTGTGAATATCTACAAGAAACTAGCATATGCTCTTTGTGAAAGGATGTACTTGTGTGGCTTTCTACAGTTCTCAGTCCTTGGGAAGAAGTTAATCCCCTGGAGCTGCCGGTGTGGCTACAGCCGGGGAAGAGCTGGGGGGGCCAGTGAAGGGTTGGGGGTGCCCCCCCCCACGGGTGGGAGGCGTGGAGAGGTGTCTGGGGAGGGGAGCGGCGGCGGTGGCCCGGGACAGATCCGGGGCTTCTCTAGAAGTCCTGCCGCGGGGTGTGAGTCAGGCTGTGCCGCCGCAGATCACAGTTTCGCCTGAACACTTTGCCGCACTGCTCGCAGCTGTAGGGCTTGATGTCTGTATGGGTGAGAAGGTGAGTTTTCAGATTACTTCTCTGATTAAAGGTTCTTCCACATGTGGGGCATTTGTGTGGAGATTCCTGTTCAGATGTGAAGCAAGCAAAGGATTAATCCTTCACACCACCACGGCACCCTTCTCAATAGTTTCTGTCTTATCGGTATCACAAGGTTAACAGAACACGCGCACGACAACAAAGAGGAGACTTGCAGGAACACATCTGTGCTCCTAATCCTCCAATCACAAAAACACACGCACAGGCACACACAGGGACCGGATTACACTGATAACCGCCGGTGGCCACTGGCGGTGGGCTTTGTGATTTCCAGCTCTTTACATTTCATCACCATGTCATAGGCAGGAAAAGGGGGAAGGAAAAACTCTAATCCTCTCTTAAGGAACGACATTCTCTCGGGTAATAAGGCTCCTCTTTGGTGGAAAATTAAACTATTCCTCAATGTTCTGAAAACTACAAATTATGAGGCCCCTGGGAGAGAGAACGTATGGGATTTCACCATGCCTCCATTATCAAAATTACCTTTATTTCCTCCCAAACACAAAAGCTTTAAATGCAGGGCACATCAGGTGAAAAAAATAATTCTAAAATTAGGATTTTAGAATAGTGAGAGTGGCTTGTTCTTTAAGAAAAACACATAAATGTTTTCTGTTAAATAAAATTAATTTCATGTATAAAAAAACTGGGTGCTGCTTCCTCCACCTAGAAAACTGATCTAAATAGAGCCTTTTATGAGAAAGACCCTGCCATTGAACACCTTTTCTAGAGCAAAAATGATAAAACAGAACCAGTCAACTGTTTTTAAACAAGAAAACAAACTTACCTGCATATGTAAAGTTTTGTGAACAGCCAGAGTTCTAGACTGACAAAATCCTTTCCCACACTCCTGACATTTGAAGGGTTTTTCTTTGGAATGGATATACCTGAAAATCAATATAAGGTTTCATTGAAATGGCTTTAACACCACGGTGAGGAGTTTCTTTTGGCAATTACTTTAAACAAAGTCATGAGGAAAAAAAGAAAAGAAACAGGATTTCCATTATTTATGTTTTTATATCCCCCCCCCCCCCCCCCCTGGAGATTAAATGAGTTAATCCCTGTAAATGCTTGGACCAGTGCCTGGCACAGTAGCTCTCAGTACATTTCCAGTTGTCATCCACGTCATCACCGTTATTAATTCTGTGAACTCTGCTCATTGCTGGAGACTTGAAATGTATGTCCCTGTTCTTACTGTGCTTCCTCAGTTGGATACAAGTTTCACTGCCTTTGGCAACGGTTTTCCCTAAATTCTAGTTTGGGAATGTGGCTGGTTCCCTTTTTTTTTTTTTTCCCCCTTATTTTTTTTTTTTTTATCCCCCCCCCCCCCCCCGTGTAATTCTGTTTATGGTTAACCTCAACTAACAGACTTCAAAACATTCACCGGACGCCGTCTTTATCTACACTTGATCGCCCTCTCTGGCGTGTTTTGGAGCTCGAAATCGTGCCGAACGAGCTCTTCTTGGCCTCTACGGTTTTCTCTGGGATTTAAACTGGTCAAATCAGGATATAAGGCAAGGCCAAGTTTAGGGGGACTAATTTTAGCGAACCCCTTAAAAGCCGCAGAGGATCGGTACAGAAGTCCTACCTTGGGGTAACAACAGCAAGTAGAGTCCAGGGAAAAGATACCCTCACTCCCACTCCTGGGAAGTTTTTACTGGATGAAAACACTTACATTATAGTATTTCTTCAATTGCCTTTGATTAATGCATAGTTGAAGATGTGGAGGGAATGTGAAGAGCTGTTTCTAAATTCAGTGATCTCAAGACCCCCGCAAATAAGTTTAAAGAAAGGTCACTGTGGCAGGCTCTCGGGCGCACCTGGGGGCGAGTCAGGGAAGGGAGGGAACCCAGTGGAGGTGGCTGAGATTTCAGAAGTGGTCCTATCGCAGGCAGGACCTGCACCCACCATAGAAAGGTCTTCGAGGCTTCTTGGCTCTACCTGCCCCACCCCCTAAGGTCGACCAGGTGGAAACTGGAAAACCGATCCCAGGACCAAGGCCAACTCAGCAGATTTTAACTACCTAAGGATGGGGTGGCCCTCCTGCATCCCAAACAAGAACAGGCAGCAGGGGCCCGCTGAGGAAAAAGGTAAATTTGGAGGGTTGGTTGTGGCTGGCTGGGGAGGGCTTTGGGGGATATATTCTAGTTCAAAGGGGATTTTAGTGACGCTTGTAATGTCTATCAGGATTCGGTATTCTGGATAAACTGTCCTTCCCTCCCCAGGCCAACCTCTTTCCCCACCTTACCTGTGATCCCGCAAATGATCTTGCCTCCGGAAAGCCTTGTGGCAGATGTCACACGTGTAAGGCCTCTCATCTGTGTGGGTCCTCTCGTGGATGAGCAAGTTGTAGGATTTGGTAAAGTGTCTGCCGCAGAACTTGCAGATAAACTCTTTTTTCGTTTTGGAGGGCAACCTCCCTCGGGAGGGCTTTCTGTCCGGAGTCAATTTACTGAGGCCCGAGATGGGGCTACCCAGCCCCGGGCTCAGCTTGGTCAGGTCTCCTATCTTAGGGGGATCCTCTTGCGTAGCGGCCACGGCCAAGTTGGCAAAGTCAAAACGGGGCCGGTCCTTGTGCAGGGCTGGGAGGACGTGGGCAATGGCTCCCTGCTTGGGGTGGAAGAGGTGGGTGGTAAAGGGCAGAGCCGGGAAGGGGAAGCGCGCGTCCACGAGGCCCTGCGCCGCCGCCATCTCGGTGATGGTGGAGCGGGTGATCTCGTGCACGTTGGGGTACCCCAGTGTCCAGTGGTTCATGTGCATGGTCTGCACGGCGCTGAGACCGTACAGGCCCTGCAGGTGGTCCACCGCGGCGGGGAAGGTGTTCACGGCCTGCAGGAAGGAGTAATTGGTGAGCTGTAGCGATGGGTGGAGCGGGATGGGCGCTGGCAGAGCCTTGCTCCCCATTTTCCGGGGTGCTGGGGGGCGGAGGTAGCCACCCTTTTTTTCCAGGACTCAGAGGCGGGTGGGCGTGGGGCTCCGGCGAAAACCCAGGAGGACAACGGCACGCAGAGAAAACCCTAAAAATGGCCGGGGGAGAGAGAGAAAGTCGTGACTATTATTCAAGCCTGCTCTGTCTGTCCCTTGGCGCCACTTGGGTTACAACACCTTCCTTCTAAGTCCTCCTCCCCACCCACTCCGAGGCCCCCAAACGCAGTGGTGAGGGAACCTCGGAGAGCCTGCGCCGCGGGCGAGTCGACACCAAGCTCGAGCTCAGCCCCCGGAGCCAGGGTGTCAGGCGGGGCAAAAGTGGTCCCCGGCGGCGAGCGGGTCGCCCGTGGGAAAATCGGATGCCAGGCACGCACTGATTCGAGGAGCCGAAGACCCGGGCCGGGGAGAAAGAAAGGTGGGCAGGGGCTCCAGCAGAGGCGGCACCCAGTCCAGCCCACCCACCCCTACCCGATCCGGTGAAGCTTGGTCATCCGTGACACCCCGCTGAGCCTCTGTTGCCGCTGTGCCTCCAAGCTCCCCGGGGAACGTTGGGCTGTGGGTCTGACCCGGGCGTGAGGGCCTGGCTCAGCCGGGCGGCTCCTAGCGCTGCACCCCGAGCCCGCTGACCCGACCCGCGACCGCCGTTCACCCGGACCGCGCCTGGGGTAGTGGAACGCAGCCGGGGGCGCTTTGCGCTCCTGGGGCTGCGGGGCCCTCGGAAGGGCCCGCCTCGCCCGGCGCTGACCTCAGAGGTTTTCTTTTTCCTTCCTCTGCCTCTGTCCCATTCATCAGCGGTGACGGGCCACAGGAAAGAAAAGTGACACCTCGGGGGACGGTGAGGCCTAGAATCACCCCTTCCACCTTCCCAGGGGCCGTCTCTTCCCACCCCCCACCTAGATCCCTTCCAGATGGTTCAGGCTCAGTGGGGTGTTGCGGGGGTGGAGAAAGTCCCCGATCCAGGACCGAGCGCCAAGCTTTCGGGAGGCCCGAGCGCTTCTCGACCAGGCACCAGGCGAGACTCCTACACCGGCCAGGCCCCAGCAAAAGAGAAGAGAGGAGAGGCGAGAGTGTTCCCCGGGGAGGAAAAAGGAAGGCACAGCAGGGGAGCCACAGCAGATCGGGTACGATGCGCCTCTGCCTGCCTGGAGGAAGCTTGCTTGTCGGCCTGGAGTTGAGTGCGTCGTTGCTCCTGCCACCGGGAAGCCGGCCCGGGTCTGCGGCCTGGGCCTGAGCAGGGCGCACGCACATGCCTGTCCCTGAACCCCCAGTGCCAACACGGAGGTCTGCTTTCAGACCCAGTTTCCCGGGGCACCTCATCTGCTTTCAGGGTAGGCCCACCTTCTCCCACTACCAGACCCTTTTTTAGCAGAGAGTTCTGCCAGCTCTGCGGCCTGGGCCTTGCCTCTGAAGGTGGCTCCCCAGAGGCTGGGACTCACAGTTAAGCGCTTTCCCTAGAGAGGGGCAGGCAGGCCTATCTGAGCCATCAACCTTTATGCCTGGCTTTTGAACCCAGCAGGAAGATGGGAGAGTTTGTCCAGACTTCCTTGCCACCAGCCCTTTCTGCACCTGAAATGCTCTTCTCTAGCGTGTTGTGAAGTCTTGCCTGTGGCTCTATCTGGGGGCAGGCTTAGAGGGCTGCGCTAATGACACAGCGCTCTGGCCAGGCAGAATCTGGCCGCCTCCGAGAGGCCCACACCTTCCCTCCCTCCTCTCCTGTTTGGAACGGGTTGGAGACAGGGATTTATTAATGAACCGCTTCTGCCCAGTGGTATGCGGTCTGGGAGTTGAGGCCGGGAGTTAATGAGAGATGTGTAACAGTCAGAGGGTCTCAGTCAGACCGTTCAACCGAAACTGTAAACCTCCATTAGTAATAAACTTTCCCACCACAAATCACAATTCATTTTTGTTCAGTGGCAACCCTCAAGCCCTCTCCTAGAGAGGTAGAAAAAAAAAAGATTCTACAAACATCCCTGGTAATCTATTTGTTTCCTCTTCCATTAAAAGTCATAAGTTATACCTTTATTTCCTTCTTTTTGCATAGGAGGATTTTCTAGAGATTCAAAATATTATTTTTCCCCTAGTATTAAAAACTGGCCTCCCCACATAGGAAACCGAAATTATTATTTGGGTGTTTTCCCAGACTGGATTTCTTAGAAATAAATACAGGAGGCAAAGTGCAATTCCTACCACGTTCTCCGTGTATGTACGTGCATGTGTGTGGGGTGTGTTATCGATTGAAGGAATATCATGGCCTGTGATTTTGATTCCAAATGCACAAAATGAACTCTGCCATAAAGGTTATACGTTAATTCTGCCAGCAGAAACTTGAGTGCCATCTTCCTTCCCTTTTCACCAAAAGGTTTATAACCCAAAATTAATGCCTCTTTTATAATTCAGCTTCATGGTGGCACAAAAGTGCTATTTCATAGTGTGTATTCGTTTTAATTTGCAGGACAAATAGTTTCTTCATAGAAGAAGAGCAATCCTTCACAAACAGAGCAACCCTAAATATCCATAAACATTTTTGCCATAAAGAATTAGGGAGTTTAGATTTCCACTCTCCTGCTGAGTAGCTGGAAATATATGTCAAAAGATATTTTAAGTCAATGCAGAGATCTAAAGTACTTTCGTTTTGTCTAGAGCTGAGCATGTAGTTCTCACACTCAGTTTCAGGCAATAACAGCCATCATCTGCTGTCACTTCTACACCATCCCGTTTCAGACCATTGGTTACTTTAAATTTTGCAAGGAAAGAAACTTAAACCAACGAAAAGACATAAATATTTCCGTGGAACTGAGACTAGTTTTCTTTCATCAGCCTTCTTCACAGGAATTTCCAGACATATACAGAAGTTTTGTAAAATTTAGTTCACTGGCTGTCAACAAGTGAGAGGTGTACGTACTAATTTCAGTTCAGTGAAGCTTTCAAAACACTGGAGAAAAAAATAGTGGTAATTTGATAAGGAGGCTCGCTCTTTGGTAATGTGTTATTACACTTTATTATCTAAAAATCGTATACAGTCAGGGGTCATCTGCTAACACCTGTGGGTTGGTGTCTGAGAAAAATGACTGATGGATCCGGAGGCTCGCTGAATTTCAGCCCAAGCCACAATAAAATTTTACATTAATCAGAGAGCTATACTCCAAGTAGATCCAAGGAGATCATTTTTTTAAAAAAATAATAAAATTAAAATGGCCAGATTGGATCAGGTGAACAGAGAGAAAGGGCCGCGAAGTTCCTGCCCCTTCGCTGCGCCTCTGCTTTCCCAAGGAGTTAATTAAATTAAGATGCCTTCCGCATAATCTGGGTTCTGTTTCTCTCTGCTCCCTCGCTCCCCCTGCATGAGTAATTTTCTTGTTCTGCTCAGGACTGCAGTTTGTTTAGCAGAGAAAGTAGCTGTCTGCGCCGTTTCGCTCCGGGAAACTCCAGCCCTCTTTTGTTCCCTGCTAACAGGTAGGGAGGCAGAGCCAGCGCACCCTCCACAAACACCTTTTTCTCCCTCCTCACCGTACAAACGCAACTCCTTGCTCTGTTGCTACTTCTCGAGAATCCGAGTGTTTAAACCCCAGGGGGATTTGCCTTCTGCCCCCTCCTCCAGGACTAAAGGATGGGAAGAAAATCAAAAGGCCAGCACAAGGTTGAAGAATTATCTAGGACTGAACACTATTACTTTCCTCTTGAAACGCGCTGGCTCGGCAGGCACTGTGTGTCGCGGCCCGTCCGCTCTGCCGCGGCTGCCCCCGGACGGGAGGACCAGGAATACTATGGCAGAGTGAGAAAGAACATGAGACTGTGGGGTTTTATCTCAACGTACGTAGATCAGCTTTTAGAAGAAGCTTTGCTGAGTGCTTAGATTAAATGTCGCAAAACAAAACTAAAAACAGTACGTGAAAGCGTGTGTCGTTGCGTGTGAGCTGGGAGTGGCTTGCCTGGGATCCGATAAAGTGAAAAATACAATGCCCCGGGAGTGCGTCCGTATGATTTTTTTTTCACAATTTCTGAACTTGTGGCACGCCGGACCGGGAATCCGAGCGCCCCCCTGCACCCCCTGCAGCCTGCCTTCCTTAGGGTGACTGCAGCCCCTTCCCAGAGCGGACACTCACCTCCCCCAGAAACGTCCGCCTGGGCAGCGTCACTCAGACCTGGTCCAGGCAGTGAGGCGCACAGCTTGGAAAGGTCATTGGGTCCACGCCGGACAAACTTCTTTTTCCGCGCGGAGTCCCGGGAGCCGCGGACATGATCTGGAGGACGACGAGCAGCCAAAACGAGAGCGGATCCTCGCCTTCGTCCGAGTCAGTGGTCGTTGAATGTGTAAAGACCCAGGGTGGTTGGAGCCCGCGCTCAGCGCTCGCCCGGAACCTCGCGCCTCCGCGAGCCTCTCGCCGCGGACTCGGGGTAAGGTCTGAGCCTGCAGCCTCGCAGGGCCATCACCCTCCAGCAGCGAGCACGCCGAGCTCCGTCCCCGCCCGCTCCCTCCCCAGGCTGCTCGCGGCCCAGAGACCCGGGCTTTAGTAGCGGCCCCGCCTCCCCTTCGGGCGGGCGTCCCGCAGCCGAGCTGGGCCCCCAGCGCCCAGGCTCCGCCTCCGCGCCCGGCGCCCGCTAATGGTCCACTCTGTTTACTTGTGTTTGGATAGCAACTGAGTCTTAAAGGCACAGGTTTGCTCGAGGTTTCCCTGTTAACAGAGGCAGAGCCAAGGTGACTCACTTCAAAACTCACACACAAACACAACGTCCACCCCCTTCCTTCCCCGTGCCACTTTTCCTTATAATGTTAGAAACTGAACAACTGGTTTTCTGCCTCCCGAAGACCCCGCAGAGAAACTCAAAGCGCATTTTGTAGTTTTACTTGGCGCGCTCGCCCCGTTAATTTCCACATCTTAACACGTTTAACGTAACTATCTTATTCGTAGGTAAAATCAATCACTTTTAGATTGTATTCTCCAGCATATATCACCCTTCCTCCAATTTTAAATAGTTTGGTACATACTTTTGGTCAGTTATGACTGTATCTGTAGTCTGCTTTCGCCTGCTGTTTTCAAAACGAAGTTTGTTTACAGAGGTGACAATTGACTAATTTCGTAATTACTGCAAAGACGTATTTGGGATATCCCAGGAGAAATTTCTTCCAAAATTTAAGCTTTAATCAGCCAATGTACATTTCATAAACAGTTAACCAACTTGGTTAAAGGGGTGGGCATCTGCAACCCATTGGCAAACAATAAAGAATCCATCTGGAATGGGTGAAGAGCAGTCATTTAAAACATTTAGAAAAATACTATGCTAGCTTCTCAAACGTGTACATCTTCATTCCCAGCAAAAAACAGAGTTCATTGTTCAGTTGCCAGGAAACGTAATCGAATTTGTAGAGATACATTTTTCAGGTTCTTCTAAAGATTTGGTCCTCTGTGAGTGTAACTGCAGGATGCACTTCAGCTACTCTGGAAGTAGGGTGACCGAGTGACAGAAAGGGGATGACATACTCTCATTTTAAACAGCCTCTTTCCAGATGAGATCTGCGTGAGCAACACTGAGCAAAACGCCCTTCGTCCCAGACGAGTTCGCCAGAGGCGATTTACATTAGCCCCCTGCAAGTCCGCGCTTTGAGGGGCGCAGATCTTCAAGCCAAGAGGCTGTACAATTCAAAGGTGTTCTGCCAAAATGTGGTTTGGGATGTGCCGCCCCAAAAGACAACTAAAATAATTTCAATCGTGCGGGGAAGTGGACAAATACAAGCAGAAGACTAAAACCTGTCAAAAGGTCAAGCGATGATTGGGAAGCCAGGCAGAAGCTACGGGATATTATTATTAGGATAAAATCCCTTCCATTTTATTTATGCAGAGGTAAGTAGAATTTCTCGTTCCTTCGGTAAAACATAATTCAGAGATAGCAGATCTTTTTTTTTCCTTTTCTTTCCAATTTCAAATTTGCAAATGTTAAAAAGTGAGCTTGGAATGAAGACCCGAGTGTTTAATATCCTTCAGCATTGAACTGCTTCATTGTAGACTTGACTGACGGACAGCGTGGAAGTAGCGGAATGCCTGAGTTCAGGACTTTAAAAAAAAAAAAGTTTTCCCTAATGGATTCTATAGGGGTGCTTTCATTTTAGCGCTCAGTCCTGAGCCCCAGCTACGGGGATGCCTGCGGTCCCCTCTCTCTAACCGCCTCATTCCTTCCGCAGCTTTTCTCAATTTGGAAGATTTGGAGGGAACTTTCTCTTCTTTCAGACCCCCAGGACACAACTCCTGGGGTGGTGACCTGAACAGTGTTCCTCCGCTTCATATTTCCTTTTCTGCAAGTGGAGGAAACTCCCAGCGGTGGGTTTCACACCTTCCCACCGTGTGTGTGTGTGTGTGTGTGTGTGTGTGTGTGTGGTGTTGTGTGCGGAACCGCCTGCTCTTCCCGAGGGTGAACATAATTTCCAACCATTCACGAGCTGCGCCCTCTTTCCGCAAACCTCCTGAGCCCGGGTTTTTCCATAAACGTGTTTACCTCGCCCACCCCAGCCTCCGAAGTTCCACAGTGGAGTCTGGGCCACGTCTGCCCAAGCGCTGCAGCCGCTTGAAAGGTAGGGAAGCTTCGGCGAGCTCCGGGCTTTGGGAGAAGCCTCGAGGTGCGGCAGCGCCTCGGCAGCCTCCAGGCCCGGCCACCGCAACGGGCAGGTGCGCGCCCCACGCGGAGAGCAAGCTGGAGGCTGGACGCGGAGCCGCACCCTTCTCAGGGCTCTCCCGGGCCACCTCTGCGGCCACTCGGGCCAGCCCTTGAGTTGCTCCACGCTCTGCCCGAAGCAAGCCCCCTGCCCCCGCCGGCGTCTAGAGCGCCCTCTCTTTGGGGGCCCACCCAGGAGCAGCCTCCTCGGCCGGACTCCCCGGGCGACAACGCCTGGCAAGGAAGATAGGCCCGCGGCGAGTTGTGGGTACGGGTGTGTAGAGCCTTAAGTCCTGGAGCCTACAGAGCGGCCCAGCCGCGCCCGGGGGGGCTGAGTCCCTGCACCGCCATCCCACTCCCCCTGCGCCCTCCAGGAGCAGCGCTGCGGTTCACGCCGACGTTTCCGCCGACTGGTCATCTGCTGTTCTCGTGGCTCTGGGCTTGTGACACCAAGGACGCTTCCAGAGAAATGGCTAACAGACTGTCGAGGGGAGCGCGAGCAGTTGCAGCCCAAACCCAAACCTCCCCTGGAGGACCGGACGCAGGGCAGGGAGAGGACAACGGAGGAATGGGAGGAGGAGGGGGCTCGGCAGCGTGGGTCCCTTCCCCCCTACCTCCTACCCCCACCCGCCCCACCGGCCCACCCAGGAGGCTCTGCCAGTTAAGCCACGAACAGGTGTCGGACACACACTTCCCTGAGGTTGACTCCGAGCCTCTACCAGTCTGAACCGCGCGCTGCGGACATCCTAAAGACTTTTGCCCTTTATGTCACAAGTTATGGACACACCACCTTTTAACAGGGATCTCAGCTGCCACTGCCTGTGAGGACTGAGGACTCGCCTCCCTTCTCTCCAGCCTTCCCTGCCTCTCCAGGGCGGGGACCTTTTTGCATTTGAACTTCCCACACGGTTTGCCGCTTTTCGCCGGAGCCCGGAGGAACTGAGAGCCCAGCTCTTCTCTGGGCGTGTGCACTCCAGCCCCAAAGTAGTGAGGAGGGCCGCGCAAACCTAGAGGAGGGTCGCGGGCACTGGGCTCAGAGCTGAGGATGTGGAGGCAGGAGACTAAGAATTCTGTCTTTTAAAAAGTAGGTTCGGGACAGCGCTCTACAAAGGGCTGGGGTGGGAGAGCGCGGCAGCAGGCGGGAGCTCCGCGGCCCGCGGGAAGAGCCGCAGCGCCCCCTGGAGGTAAGGTCCGAGCACTACGTGGCGCGGGCGCCGGGGTTAGTCACTCAGGCGGCTAGCTCCCGAGGTGACTGTCCGGCTGCCAGCGACCCTCCCGATCGCTGGGTTCCTTTCACCTCGTCCTGGGCTCCTTGGCTGCGGTGGCAGAGTCGTGTGCGTGACACGGGTGCTGGAGAGAGGGCCTGGCTTGCTGTCAGGGCCAGTAAGCCGCTCCACCCCCCACCGTTGGGGCCTTTGTGAGCATCCCGCGCGTTGGCCTCCCAGCGACTCCCCTCCTGGCCGGTTTTTCCGAGACGGATTTTCGGACTCACGACGCCGCCCAGGGCGGCTCTGACTTTCGCAGGGCAAGGGAAAGACACTAGTTCTGACCCCCGCTCAGGGAGTTCGCGGTGGTCCGGTGATCAGCTCAGATTCTAGCAGATTCCAAGGCCTTGGATGTCCCTGCGGGAGAGGCAAGAGAGGTTTCTCAGGGACCCCATTTGGAAAGACTCTCCCACTCCCACGACTTGACCCTCATCTCACCCAGCTTTTGAAGCCCTATCGGGAATGGATGCCTGGGCGGTCTGTGCTCTCCTTAGGCCTGAGAGCGGGAAGATGCGCGTCGCGAGGCGCGCGAATAGCGCGGGAGCCCTCCGGGGTCTGGGGGCCTGAGGACCACCCGCCGCCTCCAGCCGTCCCATCCCTGGCGCAGCCACCTCTGGGGTCGGGCTGGGCGAGACAGCCTCAGGGGCCCGAGGCCGGCCGAGCGTCTTGGGCTTTTCCCCAGGGGCGGGG